CCTTTTTCTCCAACTCTGAGAATATAAGTCCTTTGGCTTCCAATACCTTTTCACAGTTCTATTTTTCTGCTTTTGATTTTTTTTCCCATCTCTTGTCAGGTTAGGCTTTTGGTGAATATTTGATCATTTTGTTTGTTTTGTTGTTGTTGTTTTGGTGCTGGAGATCGAACTCAGGACCTTGTGCTTGCAAGGGAGGCACAGTGCTACTAAGCTAAATTCCTGGCCCCTATTTTCTGTCTGTTTTTAAAGAGTGATGTTTAAGAGTGATGATTGGAAGTGCTTTGGATGTGTCACAAGTTTTTTGATTTGGGGCTTCACTTTAGTTTGGTGAGTCAGAAAGTACTTTTTCATTGTGTGACTTATATTTCAGTATCTGTCTTTTTTCCTGTTCAGTTTTCTGGAAGAGAAATTCTCTATAATTTGGCTATATGGCTCTTTGTTCTTGTAGTTGAACTATCGACTTGGGTTGAAATGGGCATTTTCTTTCAGTATGCAGATTTTTACTTAATTCTTTGGTTTTTAGGACTTATATTTATCTTTCCCTCCCCCATCTTCATTTCCCCAAATAATAACTATTATGTCATACACACACACACACACACACACACACACACACACACTCTCCTGGTTTAACTAGTCCTGTTCATAAGTATTAACATGACTGTGTGGAATGAAGTAGGGAATCTAGAGGTTCGACTGCTTTTATGAAGACCTTGAGTTAGTCTTCCTATTTTGCCATTGCCACTCTTGCTCCTCTAACTCTTGGTGTCTCTAGATTTATGCCACTAGACTGGGCTTCCTTCGTGTGCACCCTTCCTCCTTATTTGCCCCAATCAGCTCTTTAGCTTGGGTTTTCTCTGTACTGTCTGTTCATATGTGTCTGTGAGGTTTTCGTCTTCTGGAATTTTGTTAAAATCCCTTTTCTGTTCCATTCTTTTTGATCTTGTGGGTTTGTGATTTAACTAACTCCCTGTGCCCATCTCTTACTGGGAATTGAACCCAGGGATTGCTTAGCTATATCTCTAGATCTTCTTATTTTGTAAATGTTGAGACAGAGTCTCCTTAAGCTGCCCAGGCTGACCTTGAATTTTTGATCCTCCTGCCTCAGCCCCTTGAGTAGCTAGGATCACAGCTATATGCCACCATGCCCATCTCCTCTTCCTCCTCCCCCTCCCTTGGGCCCTCCCTGTCCTCCCCATCATTGTATGGGAGGCACAGAGGTAAATGATAATGCTGCAGCCACCATATCTTAATGAGAAATCTGTTGATTTAGAGTGACATCTTTTTATATACTGCGATTTACTTTGTAGTGGTTTCAGTGCTGAGATTCTTAACAGTTACATCCCTTTTCTCTTTGATTTATCTTTTAAGGTGATGAGCAGTTTTCTTGTTCATTTGAAGGATTTTTTATCATTTCTTTAGAAAACCAGTGTAACACACAATGGTGTGTAAAGAAAAAGTAACATTCCTCCTTCTTGTTACATTATGTGAGCCTAAGGAAGCTTGACTATGTGCACTCTCTTACTCTTTTTTTATATCTTAGACATACTATACATGTGCATTTTGGTTGGTAAGAGACACTATCCATAGACCAAAAGAAACAAATAATAGATTAGGAGAACACCCTCCTACCAATTGAAAGAGAAAGATAACCCTATTAAATTGGCAAAATTTAAATTACCATAATAATCTTTGATGAGGGTAAAAGCTGGCTCTTAACATTGCTGGCAGAAGTTGCTGTAACCATTCAGGATGTGATAGAGCAGTATCATAGTTAAAGTATGCATTTCCTCTTACCTTGGGAATCTGTTGGACAGAAAGAGTAGCACCAGACCTTAAAAAATGTTTGTGCGAAGGTTTTTAATGCAACATTATTGGCCATAACTTTGGAAATGATTTAAATTCTGATATATACATGGTATGGAGTAGTATATAAGTATTAAAAAGGAGTTAAATCATCTGGATCGGCAGGATATGTGTTATAATTTTTATGTATGATTCTACATTGGATAAACAATGGAGGTAAAGGAGTATGAACCCCACCAAGGTGTGTCTAGTTTTTAAAAAGTAGACATTTTTATAAACATCTGGTGGAGATCTGTATAAACTTACCTTAACAAAGACACTTCTTTTTAATCTGATTACCTTTTATGTGAATGGAGGGAAAATGGGGGAAAGTTCAGTTAGGTGTACTGTGGAATTGTTTTACATGTGAGCCACAAGCTAGCAGAGGCTGAGAATCATTGGTTGTTCTTTATAGAATATATGCCTACTAATGGGAAAGAACTCCTTTATTGAGTTGTAGAATTTACGGGTTGCAGAAGATACCAGTCATTTTCCTTTTCATATTTACTTTTATAAATTTTTAAAAAATACATATATTTTCCACCCTGTCAAATCAATAGCTGTCACTAGTTTTTTTATTTTCATAAGATTTTGGAGAATATTTGGAATGTTTCATAATTTCCTCATCATTTAGAATTATAAATTTACTGTTGATATAGCAACTGTGCCTTTTTAGTATTGAATTGGACATAGGAATATATAATAAATAGAATGTGTGATTATTGCTAGTAATCTTGATTTAAGTACGAAATGAGTTGAGAACAGAAATATGATCAGCATTTTAGGTACGTATGACGGGACTGGGTGGGTGATGAAATCAGGTTGTCATGAAAGACTTCTATGAGAAAAAATAAGTGCTAAAGAACTTGGTAGATAAGAATTGGTAGCAAACAAATCATATACTCTTTTTCTGATTCCTCTAGTGACTCAACTAGTTACTTCCCACTAAATGCATTCTTCAGAAATTTTAGTTACAATCAGAAAATTATGGAAAATATAGTACTTGGGGGAAATACAAATAAATCCCTCTACTTTATTCTCAAAACTGGCACTGTATACAGTGTTTAAGTTCAAATCATAACTTAGTGTTGTTGAACGCATGTTCTCTTTTCAAAAAAACTTAACATTTTGCCAGATCTGTCTAAATTAGGAATAATAGAATCAGATAACTTTTAGTTGAGGGTTGATTTTTTTTTTTTTTTTTTTTTTTGGTACTGAGGATCGAACTCGGGTCCTTGCGCTTGCGAGGCGGGCAGCGGAACCACTGAGCTAAATCCCCAGCCCCTGAGGGATGATTTTTATGATAAAAACCCAGTTAATACTGTTTCCCCATTTTCCGAATTCACGGGGATAAAATCACATTGTTCTGTAGATAGGTAAAAACAAATATGTATACATATAAGATTCATGTTTTCTCCAGGAACTTTTTCTCTTTTTCTTGGCCGCATAACTTAATTATGCATCAGGACCACTTAGGTAAACCCTTGTTCTCCCCTCCAGTTAATAAACAATTTAAAACACACAGAAGAAGAATAGTATAACAAGTAGGGGAAATTTTAATAATAGATATACTCAGACAGGGTCAGAACTTGGAACCTGTTCAGGTTACATTGACACATATACACCAGGCACCTGGCAGTTCTAATGATAGCTGTGTTAGGTAGGGTACATGACATTATTGTCCTAGGGGAATAACCCAGCTCTAGATAAAACAAATGCTGTTTAAATGATTTATCTTGATCTGTATTTGTATCAGCTCTTTATTGAAATATAATCTTTTTAGCCCTTAATCAGTAGTGTAAGTGGCAGTTCATTTGTAGGTCTTTGACTTTTTGGTTTGTTAATACTATTTGCATATGAAATCAGTGCTATGAACTTCTTTTAAAATGAAGCCCTGCATTGTTAGAGCTTTTATCTAAATTACCTTTTCCAAATATTATCATCTTAGATCTTCTGTAACTGCCTTGTGAGATAGTTGATTTGATTTCCTCTGTTGTATAGATGGAAATCCAGTTTTACAAAATAGGAATTTGCATTTTTTTTTGGTTGCTGCAATGATGTGGAAAATCTGGAATGAATATGTAGTGATTCTGGAGAATCCTAGGAGTTATTTTTCCCCTTTAAAAAAAAAAATCCTCACTAGTTTTCTTTTGCTTTGTATTGAACTGGAGTACAGGTGACTTAATGCTCAGGTTGCTGCTGTGTGAGGATTATAAGTTAATTAAAGTTATACACCATTTAAAAATTATAAGGTATAGAATATGCCAAGATGAGCTTTGAAAACTTCAGGTGGAAATGTTTTTTTAGATGTGACAGAAGTGATTGTTTTTTAAATACCTATCTAGCTGTGATACTTCAGATAAGGTGCTCTCTCAGGTTCAGTTAACAGAATATCCAAATATAGGGCTTAAATAATGGACATATTTACATGTGTGAGTTCTGGAGGGAGGGTGCCTGTTCATCAGCTCAACTCTCAGTGTTCTGGATCATTTTCTTTCTGCTCAGCATATCTTTAGATTGGCTGCAGTATGTCTGAGCATCAAAAAATTCTTACACAACAAAATCCAGAAGCAGGAAGGAAGAAAAAGGTCTTAGTTGTTCCATCTTTTTTTCTAGGTGGAAAATCTTTACCTGCAGTCCCAGTAGACTTCACCTTTTGTCACAGTAGCCAGAACTAGTCATGTACTCAGTTGTAAATCTGTTAATGTAAGGGGAAATGAGATTCCCAAGATTGGCTCAGCACAATGCTGATTCATCTCCTTGATCTGAGGGAGAAATCTAGCCATTGGAGCTCAGTGATGTCTCATATTAAATAAGCGTTTTTGTCCTCAGAGAAGGGAGAATCAGAAGGGTAGGTAATGTAATAATATTTTTTATGTACTATATAACAAGTAATTCCTGTACAAAAAGTGAAATTTTAGTATATTGGCCTTTACAGGGAAGCATACTCATTTGAGAAATGTGTTATCCTGTAAGTTCTACTTTGTGATTGACCCAGGAAGCCAGTGTTTGGCTTTCAACTGATTAGCTGCTTTCTGTACTTTTGTCTGAATACAGTCCTTGTTTATTTTCCTCTGATATTAAGCTCCAGATTATGATATTACACGATTTTGATAATAGTTTTATTATTTTTAATTAATTTGTACTTGTTCTAGGTGGATTCTCCACAGTTTTCCTCGTGAGAACTCATGGTGGAATCCGATGTGCATTGAAGCGAATGTATGTCAATAACATGCCAGACCTCAACATTTGTAAAAGGGAAATTACAATTATGGTAAGTGAAGAGTAATATTTTTAGGCAAATTGCGTATTGGCTTATACACATTTAGAAAACCTTTGAAGTTTGTTAAACTGGAAAATTGTCTGGAAATATGTACTTCATTTCTTCTTTTTTTTTTTTTGGTACTGGGGATCGAACTCGGGTCCTTGCGCTTGTGCAGCAGGCAGCAAAACCACTGAGCTAAATCCCCAGCCCCGTACTTCATTTCTTATAGCCATACTTAACGTGAAGTACCGCCCCATTGTTTCCCTCCTCTTTCTGCCTTCCCTATTGTAGGGTCAACAGGCAACAGGCAAGCTACTATTCTTTTTTTGTGTGTGTGTGGTACTGGAGATTGAACCCAAAGGACCTTTGTTCAGTGTTATAACCCAAACTTATTTTGAGACAGGATCTCACTAAGTTACTAAATGTCCAGGCTGAGCTCCAACTTGTGTTTCTTCTGCCTGAGTCTCTGAAATTGCTGGGATTATGGGCATGTACCACCATGCCAGGATTCTTTTTCTTTTCTTGGATGCATTCTAATTATCGAATATTTTAAGGATAGAAAAACATAAAGAATTATCTAATAAATATCAAGTTTATCCATCATGCACCTTAAGAAATAAAACCTGACAGGTATTGTTGAAACCTTCTCTGTATTCTTCCCCAACTGTTGGCCTGTACTGTACTGTTTCCTCATCCAAAAAGAAACTACTGTCCTGAATTTGGTGTTTACCATTCCCGTGTGTATTTTATGGATTCACAGTATGTATTCAGACTCACAAAAAAAAGTTGTTTTACTCTTCATTTTAAAAATCATACTGTAAGGTTTTTCTTGTAAACTCTGTAATTTATGGTGAGGTGTTTTTAAGCAAGGGAAAATTTAAATATTATGAAAAGTAAAATATAATGGTCATTAAAGACTTTAGTGACTCTGAGTTAATAAACAGTTAAAATAACTTATAAAATAAAAAATTTCATATTAGTGTTGTTTGTTCTTAGTCCTCTGGATGACTTGTTCTTACTTTTCCTTATTTTCCATTGTGGATCAATTGCTTTTTATTTTTTGGTACTAGGGATCAAACTTGCGCTTGTGAGGCAGGCGGTGGCACCATTGAGCTAAATCCCCGGCCCCTCAATTGCTTTTATATAACACACACACACACAAACACACACACACACACACAGAGTTTTTGTCTTATTGAGGTAAAATTCGTATAAAACTTTTAATGTGAACAATTCAGTAGTATGTTTGCAGTGCTGTACAACCACCACCTCTATCTAGTTCCAAAACTTTTTCTTATAAACGGAGTTGTACAATGTACGATCTGTGCTTTCATGTAGCATGATTTTTGAGGTGAAGCTACACTTCACTTACGTACTAGAGTATATAAGTATGCTGTTCTTTTTAAATGTGTGAATAATATTTCATTGTGAATATTCTGATTTTTAGCTATGTGATGAACATTTGGGCTATTTCTGTTTTGGCTATTGTGTGAATAATGCTACTATGAATGTGTGTACCTGCGTTTGTTTGAGTACCTGGTTTAGTTCTTTGGGTATATACCTAGGAGTGCAATTGGTAGATCCTGTGGGGATATTATGTTTAACTTTCTGAGGAACTACCGAACCTTTTCACAGTAACTAGTGCATTTTATTTTCTTGCCCGTAATATATTTTTCCTCATATTTGCCAGTACTGACTGTGAATGTCAGCAGACCTACTTATCCAACTACTGACAGTAATTTTTTACTTTGTATCAGCTTCTTTAGCAACATGACTTTTGTTTGAAGATAAATACATTTAAACAATATGACTTTTCAGAATTTGTCTTTTATTGTCCTTGTTAGGTAGGTTAGAGGTGATTAGGCTTTTGGGCTTTTAAAGGTAATATATTAGCCAAAGTGGTGAAAAAGATTTCCCCCAACATAATGGTGAAGCTTACATAAGTTCTCTAACTGGATCTCAGTGTATATTGTGCCATAATTCTTCCTTTCAAAACAATTTGTGTAATTAATTTTGAGGCGTGTGAAATATAGTCAGCCTCAGTAGCACCCAAATTCTATGCTTTTGAACAAGATATTTTAGGAGGAGAGTAGCTGTTTACAGTGATGGTCTTCCAAGTATTTTTGATGACCCAGCTCCCACTATGTATTACTTATTTATAAGCTCTTCACGTGTTCAGTGATCATTAACCCTTATCTCAAATTGCATAGCACAGTTATATTTAGATTTATTAATGATAGTGATTGTAAATTCATTAAAAATAGATAGTATTCAATTTCCAAGTAGATCTGCTTAGATTTTTTTCCCTTGCTGTGCTGTGCTGTGCTGTGCTGTGCTGTGCTGTGCTCTGCTCTGCTGAGGAATTGAACCCAGGGCCTTGAGAATACTAGGCAAGCACTCTACCATTGAGTTATATCCCAGCCCTTTAATTTTTTATATTGAGACAGGGTCTTTTTAAGTTGCCTAGGCTGGCCTCAAACCTATGATCCTCTTGCTTCAGCATCCTGAATTACCTGAGGTTACAGGTGTGCACCACTGAACCCAACCTAGCCCTATTTGTAAACTTCTATCTAGGAACAAAAATTTCAGGTTTGCCACTTATTTCCTTGCACTCTTATTATTGATGTTATATATGGTTTTCTTTCACAAATTTTTTTTAGCACTAGTTGATTTTTAGGTAAAAAGTACATGTATCCATAAATCCATGAAATGGCTACAAAAAATTACAATATATTTCAGGGAAAAAATAAGAGTAAAATTGTTACTTCATTAATATTAGTTCTTAATTCCTTTTAAGATACATATAACCAGTACTTGGGATGCTGAGGCAGGAAGATTACCATGAGTTCGAGGCCAGCTTGGATTACATAGTGAATTCAAGGCCAGCCTGAACTACATAGCGAGACTCGTCTCAAAAAACCCAAACAGGGCTGGGAATATAGTTCAGTGGTGCTGCTCCTGCCTTGTAAATGCAAGGTCCAGAGTTTGATTCCTGGTACCAAAAAGGAACAAAACAAAATAAAACCCCAAATGATACAAGTAAATATAAAAGTTTTAGTATTTTATTTTTGAGTGTTAGAACCGTCTAACTACATTTGCTTTGGGAGACTTTTGAGTGAACCATTTTCCCAGTTAAATTTAAAAACATATTTTTTGATTAGAAAGCTCACCGAAAAATGTTAAAAAATAAGACAGTAACATTCATATGCAGATAAACTTTTTATTGAAACCATTGAAGCCTTTGACTAGTTGAAATATGTCAGATTCCGTATTCATGCCTAATTCTTTTAAAAATACATTAATTTAGGTTTCAAATTGTTGCTACTGATTTAGGTTTAAAATATATATTTTTCAGTTAAAAAATTTTATTTCTTTTTTTACAGAAAGAGCTATCTGGTCACAAAAACATCGTGGGTTATTTAGACTGTGCTGTTAATTCAATTAGTGATAATGTATGGGAAGTGCTTATTTTAATGGAATATTGTCGAGGTAAGTACCTGTCTGTAATTGTATTATACTAAAATACTTTCTCTTAAAATAGGTTACAAAGTGTTTTGGTTTCTCCTAGGGCAGCTGTTAGCCTTATTTTGGGCGATTATTACTACAGTTTCAGTTAATTAGGAATAGTGTTTAAAAGTTATTTAAAACCTAGACATAGTGGCTACTATAATGATATGAGCATGTAAATGGAAAATTAACACAGTACTGTTAGGTTGAAAACAGGAAATCTAAACAGGTAAGTTACATTTCTTGCTTTCTCTATAGTTACGAATTTTTTGGTTTTGTTTTGGTGATGCTGGATGTCTGCTTTGCCACTGAGCTACATTCCCATTCTGTATTCGATTCTTGTATAATCTCACTGAGAAGACCTTGATATGTCAATATTAGTGTTTTAAGAATTTTCAGGCAGTATATCATTTTATTATAAATTATTCAATTTTACAAATTCAGAGGGTACACTTTGATCTATAATCTTAATAAACTTGTGTTATGTAGTCTTTTGAGATTCATTTGTAAATATCACAAGAGAGAAAACCACATTTGATTTAGATCTAATGTGATATTTGAAGAAAAGTATTTACTTGTATGGCATGGTTATATATCATAAAAGTCATCTCTGACTCTAAAAACTTCATGTGTCAGAAGGGGACAATGAACCAATTTTCTACAAACTTATTTATTTTAAAAATCAGGCTGTGTTTGACAAGTTGGATTTTAGGGAGCTCTGGTTTATATTTAGATTCTCACAAGTCAATTTTGATAATTAGTTACAATTCCAGGAATTCTTGCAGTTTCCTGAGGTTAGAGGAAGATATGACAGTGGTGATAGTGGTAGAGAAAATACCATATCATTCATACCAATCTTGTTAGGAGGAAAGGGTGAAGAAAAATGTCAATCTTATAATGTTTATTGTGATGTATTCATAGCTTATTTCCATATATAATATTGAAAGATAAATATTTCTTTTTATAGCTCATCCTCTCTATTACAAAGCACTACAGTTATTTTTAGGAGAGAGATATTTTTTTTTCCTCTATCATTTTCCTAAAATTGAGCATATATGGTGTTATTAATTGGATTAGTGTTCACTAATAGTTCTTGACTTCTTGTAACTTTTTTAATTAAAAAATTAAAAAAACTGATACATACAAAAATTGTACATATTAGTGGGGTTCTATGTAATGTTTGATACGTATTGTGTAATCACATTTCACGTATCTGTTTTCTCAGACATTCATTAGTTTTTTCAGGTGAAAACATCCAAATCCTTTTAGCTCTTTGAAATATACAGTACATGCAGTAGTTGCCATCTATAGTCACCCTACTGTGGAGTAGCATGCCACCACCTCGTCCTTCTATTTAACTGCAGCTCATTATACATTAATCATTCTTACCTCCCCTTCCCCATATTCTTTCCAGCCTCTAGTTAACCACCATTTGGGTCTCAACTTCCATGAGATCAACTTTTTTAGATTTCACGTGAGTTAGATCATCTGGTACTGTCTTTCTATGGCTGGCCTATTTCACTTAACATAATGATCTCCAGTTCTCCCTCCATGTTGTGACAAATGATGATATTCCATTATTTTTATGTGGCTGAATGGTATTCCATTGTGTACATATGCCACATTTTCTTCATTCATCAGTTGATGGACACTTGCATTTTTCCCAAGACTTGGCTGTTGTGAATAGTGGTACAGTAAACATAGAGACACATGTCTCTTTGACGTGACTGATTTTATTTATTTTGAATCTGTACCTAGGAATGGGATTGCAGGATGATGTGGTAGTTTTATTTATTTTTATTTTTTTTATGTCTTTGTGGTGGGATTTAAATCCAAGCATGGCTGAGCTTCAGTAGCCTTTTCATTCATTCATCCATCCATCCATCCATCCATTCAGTGGTACAGGTGATATTTGGGCATTCTATCACTGAGCTATATCCACAAGCCCTTATTTTGAGACAGGGTCTCTGAATTGCCCAGGCTGGCCATAAACTTGTCATCTTCCTGCTTCAGCCTCCCAAATATCTGGGATTTTTTAGTATGTGCCACCATGTCTGGCTGGTAGCTCTATTTTAATTTTTGAAAAACCTCCATTGGCCATAATAAGGTATATTCCCACCAACAGTGAGAAAGTTTTCCTTTTTCTCCACGTCCTCACCGACACTTGTCCTTTTTGTCCTTTTGATGATAGCCTTACTAGAGTGCAGTGATAATCTCATTGTAAGTTTGATTTGCATTTTAGTCATGTTGAACATATTTTCATATACCTATTGCCCATTTGCCTGTCTTCTTTTGAAAAATGTCTATTTAGATCTATTACCCATTTTAAAATTAGGTTACTCTTTTGTTTGTTTAGTATTGAGTTTTTGGAGTTCTTTATGTATTCTGAATATTAACTCCTTGTCAGATGTATAATTTGTAAATCTTTTCTCCCATCCTATATGTCACTTCACTCTTTCGATTGTTTCTTTTATTCTTCAGAAGTGTTTCTAGCTTGAGGTGTCTTGTTTGTTTATGTTGGCTCTTTTTTTCCCATGCTTTTGAGTTCTCTTCCAAGAAATCCTTGCCTGTTCAAATGCCTGGAAGCATTTTCCTATGTTTTAGTACTTTCCTATGTTCAGTACTTTCATTGTTTCAGGTTTAACATTTTAGTCTTTAATCCATTCTGAACTGATTTTTATAAGTAGTGAGAGGGGTTGAGTTTCATTCTGGCTATGAATACCCAAGGATGAATTTATGTCTAGGTTGTCTATTCTATTTTATTGGTCTCTGTGTGTATTTTTATTGGCAATTTACCATGCTGTTTTGATTCTATAGCTTTGCAGTATATTTTGAAGTCAGATTCTGTCAATGCCTTCTGGCTCATTCCGTTTACTCAAGATCGCTCTGGCTATTTAGCTTTTGCTGTTGTTGTTCCATAAAAATTTTACAATTTTTTTGTAGTTCTTTTAAGTATGACATTGATATTTTGATAGGGATTGAATCAAGTCCATAGATTGCTTTGGGTAGAAAGGACATTTTAACAGTATTGATCCTTCTAGTCTAGGAATATGGGATATCTACTTTTTTTGTGTCCTTTTCAGTTTCTTTCATCCATATTTTATAGTTTTTATCCTAGCGATTCTTTTACCTCTTTGGTTAAATTTATTTCTAGGTGTTTTATTATTTTTTTTCATACCTATTCTAAATAATATTGCTTTCTGTATTTCTGTTACAGATAGTTCCCTATGTATAGCAACACTACTGACTTTTATATTCTGCAACTTTACTGGATTCATGTATTTTAATAGTTTTTTTGTTGGAATCTTGGGAATTTTCTATATATAAGATCATTTCATGTGCAGACAGTGACAGTTTGCTTTCCTCTGTTCCAATTTGTATTCCCTTTATTTCTCTTGCCTGATTACTCTGGCTAAGACTTATGTACACTACCGTGTAGCTTAACCTCAGAAACATCATGCTACATGAAACACACACACACATATATAAATGTTCTTATATATGTATTATATGTTGTGTATAGGTATAGAGAGTGTGAATACGTGCATGTTGTATGTGTGTGTGTGTTTTAAGGTACATTAGTTTTAATTATGTGGGGATAAAATTGTACAGAAAATAGAATGTGTTGTGTAGCTAGTATATCCTTTCATACTTTCAGGAATCCGATGTTTACATCTTCTGTAAAGTGTGTACACCTTATGTCTCTGTCAATTCACGACTTGAAGTGTTCCAAACAAGGGAATAGAGGATGTTGCTTGCTACCTGGTAATTTGCTTCTCAGCCTTCTGAGTTTACCTAAGCAAGTTATCCCTAAGTTTTCTGAAAGGCAAGGATTCATAGGTTAAATTTAGTGGGTTTTTTTTTCTTTTTTTCTTTCAAATTCTAAGGAAGAAATATTTTAGAATCTCTTTAGAAATAAAAGGAACAAGTATGTGTGTACCTTCTTACAGGTTCTAAAATAGCAGGTTTAGATCAATGTTAATAATCTTCTCAGGTCAGTGGTGTATGTGTGGCTATTTGATTCTAGTAAATTCCTCTGGCCTGTTTTTCTTTTCTGTTCTTGTTTTTTTGAGACAGAGTCTCACTTTGTAATTTAGGTTGGCCTTGAACTCAATGATCCTGCTGCCTCAGCCTCTCAAGTGCTGGCATTACAGGGATGCAAAACCATGCCTGGCTCTGGCCTGTTATTTCTTACCTGGTTGGTAGCATTAGTATTTTATCACTTCTCTCTACTTTCATACTTTGATTTCTCTATCCCATAATCAAGGGGATCTTTTAAAAGATAAGGTCAGAAATTTCTTTTGGGTCTCTTCTCAGAATAAAATACAATACATGGCTAATCCCTTTCTACCTTATCAGTTTCATCTCACCTCATTTTCTCTGTTTTCTAGATCATATCAGCATTGGCTTTTTAAAAATTATACATAGTCATCAAACTCTTTCCCAAAACAGAGGTGTTTGTACATACTGCTATCACTAGTGTAGCATGCTTCCAAAGTTCTGCCTTATTAATTCCTAATTATCTTTCAGTCTCAACATAAATAATACTTATAAAGTCAAGCTTGATCTGTTATCTTTTCCTATCCACTCTTCCTCACCAATTTAATTCATATTTTCTATATTAAGGTGTCTTGACAGTTATTATAATTATGATTATGTATTTGTATGATTGTTCTTACCTTTAAACTGTAAAATGAAAATAGAAACCTTATTTTGTTTACTTCTGTTTACCCAATAAATAGTACAGTGTTGAATAACTGTTGCTTTACATCTAACATGCCATCAATTGTAAGAAAGAAATGAAATGTCAGAAATTTAAAAATGGCCAATATTGAGCTGGTCATGGTGGCACATGCCTGTAATCTCAGCACTTTGGAGGCTGAGGCAGGAGGATCACTGTGGCTTTGACCCTGGGCTACATAGTACAAGGCCAGCCTGATGTAAAATGTTTATCTTGAATCACTGTAAAGCCTCTTTACATGAGAATTGTGAAAAAGCCAATTTCTTATAACCTGAGACCATGAAGCATTTTTTAAATGTTTTTTGTTTGTGGGAGACTTCATTTATTAAAAATATATCCTTTCAAAAATACTTTTTGTTTAGCTGGGCAGGTAGTGAATCAGATGAATAAGAAGCTGCAGACAGGTTTTACAGAACCAGAAGTGCTACAAATATTCTGTGATACCTGTGAAGCTGTTGCAAGGTTGCATCAGTGTAAGACTCCAATCATTCACCGGGATCTGAAGGTAAGGACTTTACAATACTTATGAATAGAGTCATCTGTTGTGGACTTTGGAATTAAAAAGTTCTTGGCTGCCCTTAGCTAAAGTAGCTTTTCCCTCTTTCGTACTGGGGATTGAACCCAGGCCCTTGTGTTTGCTAGCCAAGCGCTCTATTATGGAGATACATCCTTGGCCCTAAACGAGGTATGATTACTAGCATTGAGATTCATTTTTCTGTCTCCTTCTGGATTTCCTGAGGTAATGTTCTGATCCAACTATAGATGTGAACTTGTTTGATCCTTAGGATTTTTACCATGGTATAGAGATGGATTTGGTGGCCTTATTGTGCATCTCTGCTTTGTGTAGTAAGCTTCTTTAAAAGGTTTCATTTGAACAAAAATGTGAATGTCAGTGAAACATGTTGAGTGTCCCTCCACATTATTCTTTACAGTGTAGCATTCTTCCTATTCTTGAGTCTTTATTAAGCAATCAGGGTATTCTCAAGAGATACTGAAAGAAAGTATAAATGAGTCTCTTTTCCATTTATAATTTACCACAGTTTTCTGTGATTTACTCTACTTTGATAGTAGTTATTTTACACTCACTTCATTTTACCATCTTATGGGCTCTTAACCTTTATATTTGGTACCTAATGTTACAATGGAGAAAATCCTCAAAGGAAATTGAATGTTCTCGGTATCATTGTTAGAGATACCATTTAGGAATATAAGTATCTGCTTTCATGTCCACAAACACAAAGATTTGGAAAAAAAAAAAAAAATCGCTCTTCCTGGGTTGGAGGTATGGCTCAGTGGTAGCATGCTTGTTAAGGTGTATAAGGCCTTGGATTTGATCCTCAGCATTGCAAAAGAGAGGAAAAAAATAGCAAAAAGAAAAAAATGAAAAGCAAAAATCAAACCATTCTTCCCGAAGTGCTTTTTCATTAGTTTGTTTTGTTTTATTTTTTTAAGATCAGTCTTGTTACGTACTTTGCACTGGCCTTGAACTCACTGTGTGGCCAGGCTGGCCTCAGACTCGCAGCAGCCCTCTTGCTTTAGTCTCCCCAGTCCTGAGATTACAGGAGTGCGCCACCATGCCTGCCTTCTGACATGCTTCATACTCCATAAATATCCCACAGTTACCCTCTCCCCACATCCAAGTCTGCTCAGACTTACCCCTCAGTGTGTTCACTGAGACCACGTTATTTTAAATTCAAATCTTAACGTTCCTACTGCATATCTGTTCTTTCATGAATAATTAGCAAAAATGTTGTATAATTTGCTTATGTATGATGCCTGTAGTTTATTGTCTGCCTGTTTCTATTAGAATATAAATTCCACAAGGGAAGGGATTTTATTTTTTTCCTTGTTTAGTGCTATATCCAAGCAGTTAGAACAGTGCCAGGTATATAGCAGAGTCTCATTAACTGTTTAATGAATGAATGAATGAGTCCTACTGATTATACAAAAGTTTATGAAAGGTGATTATAAAATGTTCTTTAAAAAGAAGGTATCTCTTAATATGTGGTTTGTTACTCATGAAAGCATCCTCCAAGGAGAAACCTATAGTAATAGATAAGTCAAGGCAGTATTGAAATACGTGACTTCAGACTTCTGTCCTTTAATTTGGGTAAATAGTATAGCTCATCTCAATTCTTTGGAATATGTAATTTTTATATTTCCTCTGATAATTTGCTATGATTTTCTTGTTCTGTTTGTTACAGGTCATTAACTTTTTGCATACAAAGTTGATATTTTCAGCTAAGTCTCCTTGATTTAAAATTCAGAAGAGACATTAAAATGCATAGTTTCTTGTAATCTGTATTTCATATGCTTCATTCTTTTTACATTGTAAATTTATGCAAATATACATTTGTCTTAAGTAGATTTCTTGTATGAATCTTTATTTTGTATGAATCTTTTAAAAAGTTGACTAAAATGAAATATAGAAACAAAATGATAAACTAATGTATAAAGGAAGATTATAAAGAAACTTTAATATGAGAATTTTGACAGAATGGAAAGAAATGAATTATTCATCCAAACTGTTTCATAAAAATAAAAGATAAGTGAAAATCTTTTATGGGTGCTTACTGTATTCTAGACAGTGTTCCAAACACATATTTTAACACATTTAATTTTCATAAGAATCCCATAAGCTAGATATTATCTTTCCCATTTTAGTGATAAGAAAACTTCTGAGCTACAAGGGTGGTTAGACAAATTATCCAAGATTACACATGCTTCTAAGTAGCAAACTGGGCTACTTAACCATAGTCTAGAGTTCAAAAAACTGTCAACATAATTCGTTTATTTTAGCTACTGTAATTTTGAACTCTAAGTTAAGACATAGTCATATTTTTCTATTTCAATGTAGTGTTTTAAATAAAAGTGATACTATGAACGTCCCTAATCAGAAAATCTAAAGTTTAAAATGTGCTAAAATCCGAAATTTTTTTAGTGCTGACATGATGCCACAAGCTGAAAATTCTACACTTGGCCATGTATAACATTTCAAGGCACAGCGTAGGTGCACTATAATTATTGAATAAAAATCATTAGACTATATGTATAAAGCATAAATGAAACATAAATGAATTTTGTTCTTAGACCTGAGTTCTTCTGTAAGATATCTCATTGTGCATTTATATGCAATACTCTAAAAGAGAAATCTAAGACCTGAGATACCTCTGGCCCAGACATTTTGGATAAGGGATACTAACCTATAGGAATTACTCAGAGGTGATTGTTTTTTTTGTTTTTTAAAACTACTTGTTTGTCTATAGGTAAGCTTGAAGTATGAGAAAAGAAAATCGAGAAATAGTAAAAGAAAGGAGCTTAATTCTGTCTGCTAGTCATTCTACTTCATAAAGGCAGTTCTAGAGAAGATTCAGGGTTTTTCGATCACTGCATAAATTATCCTGGGGTGGGAGAAGCAACTTTGTCATTTTAGAGATGGAGTGGACATAGTAAAGTATATTTTTGCTTCATTTTGTTCTTATTATTTGGGATACCCCGTGTTTATAAATACATATACATATATATTAATGCTCAGAGTCTCCAGTATAAAAAGATTGAAAAAGGTTATTTTCGCCTTGAAAATACTAATTATTGATTTTTTTCTCTTCTTAAGGTAGAAAATATTTTGTTAAATGACAGTGGAAATTATGTACTTTGTGACTTTGGCAGTGCCACTAATAAATTTCTTAATCCTCAAAAAGATGGAGTTAATGTAGTAGAAGAAGAAATTAAAAAGTAAGTATCTTTATTTCATCATGTTTCATGGAAATTTTGGTTGAGTCTGTGACCAGCTATGTTAATACAGTACAAATTGTAGATACTCCATTTATAAATTTCTTTAGAATGTTTCTGTGCCATGATTGATTAATTTATGTCTGAATAGACAGTAGGAGATGTATTTTATAATGCAGAGTTTACATATACATCGTTAACAAATTTGTGAAGAAACCTATAAAATAAGCTGTAGTGATTAGCTAAATCATTTACAGAGAACTTTAAGTGATTATTGAGTTCAGCTGAATGTCTTTGTTTTTAATACTATTCCATTTGTACTTTTAAAGAAAAAAATTAAGATATTTGAAATCATGTGCTTCTTATGTAATGTTGAAGATTGACTTATATGCATTGAATACTATATAAAAAACCAAAATGTTAAGACTGTATCAATTCACTATTACTTTGTAATGGTATATTGGGAAGCTTTCTGGTGGAATATATCATGTATGCTTTATGTTTTCTTAATCCTGTACTTTTTATGGTTGCTAGAGTTCCTTTGAAGATCTTTTTCTAAATTTACTGTTTTTTAGTTCTAGAAAATGAAGTTACTTGTCTTAGATTACCTTAATAAAATGACACAATAGTATAGCAATTTTTAAGTAGTTGCCTTTTCTAAATTGCCTTTAATCACTTGCTCACAAATTCTTAAGATGACCTAGAACAGTGGTAGCGAACTTACGGCACACGTGCCGCAACAGGTGGCTTGTATCACTGACGTCTCTAAAAGGTTTGCCATTACTGCCCTAGAAGCTATTGTTTGTACTGCAATATTTATAAATAGTTCAAGTGGTGCTAATATTGTATAATATAGTGCATTTCTAGATTACATATTACTACTCAGAAATCTTAGCCTGTCATGATTGTTAGACTCCATAAAATCAAATACCTTGGTAAATATATAAATGTCCTAAAGAACACAAGAATATCAAAATATTGAATGGACTCTTTGGATATGTATGTATCCTTATAATTAAAATTTTTTCTTATTGGTTGAGATTTTTAGTGGCTGGTATGGAATTTCAGCAAGTATCTATCTTGCTAGGCATTTTATTTCTTGCTATTGTATTTTGAAGTATAATTAAGATTCAATTGAATTTTGCTGATGATTGAAATTTTGTGATGAATAGGAGCTCATTTTGGAGTTTTTGTCCTCTGTGGTTCAGTTGAGGAGCTAACCATTTATTCATTAACAAGCATTCATTCAGAGCCAGCACTATTCTTGGTACTTTTAATACAGTAGTGAACAAAAATCTTGCTGTTAGGCAGTTACTGCGTAGTTGTGTCATTCAGACTGACTCACCAGTGTGTTAATTTGGAAAAAGATAGTACCATGTTGAATTTTGAGATACTTCTTGTAAAATAATATGTATAAACACTCTGAATGAATCTTCATTATATCCATCCATACTCTGATAATTTCTGCAACAAGATGGAGCGCTGCTTCATTAAAACGTTCTGTTCATAATGGATTTGAGGTTTTTGTATTAGTAAACTTTTATTTACAGTGCATAATTCCAAATAGCTTATGGTAGCAGTTAGTGTTAGAGGTAATCTTATGTAATGTTATAGGTAGAATTATAACTAGATTACTTTTTTAAAAAGTTATAAAAAATCAGTGATTTACTACTGTGTAAGGAATTGTATTAGCATTTATAAGAACAAACTCCTTTGTAAGCATACAAACTTTTAGGGAAGGTAGGCATTTTACTTGAAATAGATTAAAATATTTTGATAAGGTGATTATAGTCAAATTGAATTATTGTATATAAATGGAAGAAAAATTCCAATACCTTGTCATTATTTAAGGTTTATAATAATAAAGAAAATTAAATTTTATATATTGAAGATGCTATTACACTTTTTAAATAAAAATTCCTATAGATAGTACTTTGTATTGTTTAAATCCTGATGTGTTTTCTATGAGCTTTTAAAATAGTATTGTTGGGCTGGGGATTTAGCTCAGTGGTGCTGTGCCTGCCTGGCAAGGGCAAGGTCCTGAGTTTGATCCCTGGTACCAAAAAAAAAAGTGTTTATGTAGTGTTATTGGACCTAAAAGTTTTTTTAAGTATTATTTATAGAGAAACAATATACATATTTGCTGTAAAATTTTATTGGTTGTTAAATATCCCCACTCCATTTCACTCATTTACTGCCAGGTATACAACTCTGTCATACAGAGCTCCTGAAATGATCAACCTTTATGGAGGGAAAGCCATCACCACCAAAGCCGATATCTGGGTAAGGCCAAGAAAGGTTGAAATTTACCTAGCCAAATTAAATATGTGCATTCAGTTGACTTGTTTCCTCCCTGCTTCCCAAAAGGCATTTCTTGATAACAAGATGGTGATGTACAGGGCTGTTTCTTACTCCGGAAAAGAAAAATACTATAATGGTTTTTCTTCTGAATCCTGAAATGGAAAGCTTATATATTAATGAGCAAAGAACTTCCATGTAATGTACTGTTTATTCTAGTGGTTTTTAGGGTTTAGATTATATATCAGTGTTTCCTTATTTTTTTTTGTTTGATTGATCACAATTCAGAAAAGCTGGACATCTAGATATTCTTCTTAAGTACTTACAGGACAATTTTCTGGCCTATTTTAGCTTTTTTTTAACAATGGAAACTGACAGGAGCAAACAATAAGTCTAAATATACTTGTCACTACTATATATTGAAGTTCTTAGCAAATACCTATATTTGGATTTAAGGTAGATCTTGTTTCTTTATAGACCTTTATGTTAGAATCTCAACATCTCTAGAAATTTTTTCATAAGTCAGTTTTTTATTGCATTGAATAAACTTATCAGGAAACTAAGTTTTTAATTTAAAAAATTTTTAGTTTTAGGATACTCTATTTAAAATGTGAAATATTTACCACTAGTGAGTATATTAGGGATAGAGGAATAAAATTCTTTGAAGTAGTTCTAAGCTTTACAAGAAACATCAAATTTTATTTTTAAAACATAGTGTTCAGAAAGTAGTCAAGCACAATGTGGGAAACCAAATGAGTGTCTTCTTGGCATTTTTTTCTTATGGGCTCCTCCTCAGTGTAGTTGGAGTGCCAAACAAAATCTTGAGAAATAAATTTTCTTACAAAGTAATAAAAAAACTTTAATATAGTTTTGTCTGTTTACATATGCACACATTTTCACTGGTGATTCTTACAGTAGTAGAATTTTAAACAGTATTTGTAATTGAAACAAATCACAAGTACATTTGATTTAGTTTATCCGCCCCCCAGATTGGGGATCGAACTCAGGACCTTGCACTTGCAAGACAGGTGAGGTGCCTCTGAGCTAAATCCCCAGCCCTGATTTAGTTAATTTTGACACTGCACCAGCTTATATAATTCAGATCCGATTTGCTTTCCTCACCATTAATACTTGACTTACTCGATGGCTTATAGTAAAGTTGAGGGTTATGTATAATGTAGAAATGATACTGAATTAGGTCATAATTTAAAAAATGAAAGTATGAGAAGAAGTGACTGGTGGAGGTCTTTTCTGGCATAATTTTATGGTGATTAAATCCATATTGCCTGAAAAAACATTTCGACAACACACAAACAACAGACATCATAGCTCCACTCCTGTTTTGAAGCCATCATGGATTGATTTAAATAGAAATTCTCTTGATTGAAGCACATTATCTGATATCTTAACATAAAGGAGGGAATCTTTTCTTTGTTTTTTGAATAAGACTTAGTACATATGCAAATAAATACTCAAACATACAAAGAAACAACCAAAATAATTAGAAAACAAAATCCATGACTATATGCTTGAAAGAGAATTTTAATTTTCATGATGACCATCTTTATGCTTGCCTTGCTTAATGATAGCTCAGGTGAAACTGACATGTGCTGCAGTTTAGTTAGGAATTCAAGAATCCAGAAAAAATATTTAATTAAAATTGCTCAAGAATTATATTTTTGATCCTGCTTCAAGAGCATTCTGATTTGCAGAATCAAAATATTCAGGTTAAATTATTCATTTAGCAGTTTGAATTTTGGAAAAAAGTTTTTTCCCTGGAAATTTCCATTGTAGTTTACTTTTATCCTGGGATCTAGGATGCTGATTTTATTAGAGAATTCAGTAAAAAGTCCTTTATGTTATCTGAGATGATGATGGCCTTCAGGTTACTTGTTCTCTCCTGCTTTTTGTATAATTCTTACTATATCAGTGGATGAAGAAGGAAATGCCTTTGGTATGAAACAAGACACTTTGTTGTGTTCTTGCTATGCAAAACACAATATTTAAATTCACATTTTTAAAGTATATTGGCATTGCTAAAATTATCTGGAAAACTTTACAACATTTACTCTGATATAGGAGAACTTACTAGAGATTTGATTAGCATAATAAAACTGGCTAACCTGCAGCTCTCCTCTGGGTGTCATCTGGACAATGGAAAGAAAGATGTAATTTAATGTAAATATTATACCCTGAGTAATATTATTTTTAATGCTGTTAGAGCTTTGTGCTTACTTTGTATGACACATGCTAATTTTATACCAAATACACCTTTTTCTTGTGGAAGAAATATTTTTTTTCCTCCAAAAGGAATTAGCCGTATCTAATTAATTGTAGTTACTTATGATTTAGAGCAGTTTAGTCACTTGGTCACAAATGTGTTACAAAAACATAGAAATGTAAATGAAAATATGTCTTTTCCATAATTAGACATAGTTTAAATAATACTTTGTGAAAAGATTGATGTAATATAGAAATATTTGGATTTTTAAAATATAACATTCAGTTTTTTATTTTGAGCAACTTTTATGTTTTGTAGTTGACTGCCCACTCTGATGATATTCACGCTTCTGTTTTACAGGCCCTAGGATGTTTACTGTATAAACTTTGTTTCTTCGCTCTTCCTTTTGGTGAGAGTCAAGTTGCTATCTGTGATGGCAGCTTCACTATCCCGGACAATTCTCGGTACTCCCATAACATACATTGCCTAATAAGTAAGTGCTTGGAAGGTAGTGTACTTTTAGGGCCTGCTATTCACACTGCCTTACTTACCCTACTCTTTTAATTTCATTTAGAATTATGTTTGTATGACTTTAATAGGATCAAAAGCAGCCTAGTTACTGATTACTACAAGAATATTTTTAAGTCTCTAGATAAGATTTAGTAACACAGCAGAGATGATATAGTTAAGGCAGCTGGAATTCTGGGAATGGGAACACTTACAGCATATAACATTTAATTATTTAGTTTTTGTACTTTTGAAATCAAATATGCAGAGGTGTTGCTTCTTTGGATCACAACATTGCTAATCTTAGATTATGCTTGTCTTGCCAGCCTTTTAAATATCTATATTTTACTAAGTCACAGATAAATAGAAGGCCCAAAAGGTTTGATATCAGAAGGGATAGAATGACAGACCCTGCATTTCAAAAGATGACTAGTTTTCCTCTCATCTCCTTTAAGATTTTTCCTTCCATTTTGATAATGTAATTTTTGATAATGTAAATTTATGTTTACATTTAATTAAAGTTTGAAAAAAGACGTTTTCAGAGGAGGAGGAGAACTGTCAGGTACTAAAATATACAGTATTAGGTAGCTACTTTACTTACACCCCTGAGCACTGAATTAAGCTGTATTTAGCATTCCTACTTTGTTTTCTGCATTTTAAGAACCTCTATTATATCCTCTAGCTCAGTGGCAAAGAAAAAGAAGGTCAACTTAAATATGTTTAATGTTTGCATGGTAAAGATAGCGGTTCAATTTAGTGGGAAGAATGGATGGAAAGAGAAAAATTTCTTAGCTGTTTGCGGACAAAAAATACAGCTGGATCTCTACTTTATTCTTTATGTTCAAGTTTCATATAAATAAAAACTTTAAATGTATAAAAATAAAACATAAACATATTTGAAGAAAGTAAGGTTAAATTTATAAGAATACAATGTGGAATCCATAAACTAAATAGTCCTAGGAACTATAAAAGATTACTCCATTAACAGTATAAAAGATGAACTCATGAACACTAGCATAAAGTCAGATGATAAATTGGAAATAATATTCATTTGATAAATGAGTACCTGTTATAATTTATGCGGCTTGTGCAACTCAAGAAGAGTAAACACAAAAAAAGTTCAAAAGTAAAAAGTATAAAAAAGAATCTAGTTTGACTTTGCAAACTTATTTAAAGTCCATTTACTTCTGTAATGTTGATTTCCTCATACATGTTAGAAACATGCCATTTTAACACAAAGATTACTTGTGTTAAACTGTGTGTCATGTGGAATGTTTTTCCTAGGCAAGAGGAACCACAATAATTGGGAGGAGAAGGTGGTATAACTTTCACAGGAAAGGAAATAGGCAAAGCTTGGCCACTTCACTGCCTTCAGGAACACATTTAACTCTATATGAGAACACTAAGTAGGAATGCTTGTACTTGGGTTTTCTCTGCTGGAGCTCTACTTCCCTTTATGTGGCTGTATACGTATGAATGGCCACCTGCTCTATTAGCCTGGGGACTTTACTTTTATCTTCACCCATTGAACACCTGCCAAAACTGATGTGCTTTATATCCTTGAGGCAGCCTCCTCCTAGTTGAGCTACCTGCCTGTACAGTCCAAGTTATTTGCCAAGCACCAGTTAATGTTTATTTTGTCAGTCCTCTGTGATAGAGTTACATTCTTTTTATATGGGCCACTCCATGAGTCTTCTATTTTCCCCATGAGTCTTTTACTTTTAGTATGCCATTATGCAGAATATAAAATTTTTAAAAAGTGTATTTGAATAAACATTAGACCCTTAACCCTCTCTCTTATTTATTTGCTTTTCCATTTTATTGACAAAATTTGGGACATCAAAAGCATGAAAAATACTATTAAATGGAATTCTCAAAGAATAGATAGAGGAACTTAATTTTTGTTTGCACTGGCGAGTTGAATTTTAACCCTTTTTTTGCAGGGTTTGAGTTTTGTAAGTTATTGTAGCTATACACACTATTTTGCTGTAGAGTAATGTTTTAGTAGTAATTAAACTTCAGATTTTATTGAAGTTCTTGCAATGTCTTAGTTTCTCCAGATGTTCTCATTGAAAATTATTGTATGAGAAACTGGGCAGTTTATACACTTATATGTAATTTAGTTAGTAAATACTGTCTTGGGTTAGACCACTTTCCCTCCTGTGTGTGGGTGTTTGTATAATGGGAAAGCAGGCAAGATAAATACTAATTTTAGACACTCAATGAACTTTAGTTAATTAATGCTTTACAATGCACCAAATACTCTTTTATTTGTCAGTAAATGTGCAGATTTATTTTATGTCATTCCTGGTATAAATTTGTGCCTCAAATGAAAAGTGAATAAAATAAAAATACTCAGGCCAGGTGTGGGTGCATGCTTGTAACCTCAACAGGAGAATCCTAAGTCTGAGCTGAGCACAAGTCATTCAGAAACTAGCAAAATCCTGTCTCAGAATAAAACATTCTTAAAGGGCCGGGATATAGCTCAGTGTGAAAACCTTGGGCTCAATTCCTACTACTGCTACTGTTAAGGAAAAAAACAGCATTCAAGTCAATCTGAAATTATAACATCCATAAATTTTATCTTCTGTCAAAGTGTTTTATATTTTATAGATGTTACTTTGAAATGTCTTGAGTAGTAAAAGTTTAATAAAGTAGGAATTTTTAAAACCGAGCATATTTATCTGATGTAATGTGTTCTAAAAAAAATTTGGATACTTTGCAGTGCTATTCTTTGTCCTGTGTGTTTATGCTATATAGTTAGTGATTTACATTGCTTTTTTTTTTCATATTTTTTACATTGCTTTTAAATAAATTGTATATTCAGAAAACCAAGAATATTATCTAGCTCTATTCAGTTATTGAATGTAAAACTTTCTATCACCAAATGCCTATTCGTGCAATATAATTGTTCCCACACATTTTGATAAAACACAAAAAGACACCTCGTTTTAGTACTAACAGTAATACTGTCTGGCAACAGTTATACATCCACTTTATATCACTCACAATTTTTGAAAATAGCCATGACAAATCTTTGTTGTGATTGTATGGTTTGTGGTTATCAAATTATTCAAATATGATTTTTAATTATCACTAATCCAGATAAAGCCATTGTTATTAGTATCTGTTGTCCATAATGCTCAGTTTAACTATTACTTTTATTTCTCTTTCCTGCAGACTTTTTCATTTACTTTTTTTGGGGGGGAGTACTAGGAATGAAACTCAGGACTTTGCACTTGCCAAGCAGGTTCGGTCAGTTCCACTGAGCTAAATCCCTAGCCCCCAGACTTTTTTCTGAAAAAGTAGCAGAGTCAGTTATTTAGAATTTTCCTCTTCGCTTTTGTTGGTTTTCCCTGTAGACAAGTAAGGAGGTTGCCATGGGGGGTTAGGAAAGAAGCACTTTCCATTTCTGTATCCAGGAGTTGAAAAAAGTTTATAAAACATTTAGCAAAGAATAAGAATTATAACTAAGGGGATTACTGAATAATTATGAAGAGTGAGCCTCCTATAAATTCTTCTGTTGCAAGGTACTTGAGGAGATTAAGGGAAAATAAGGCCTGTAGAGCCAAACAGCCTTGGTTTATTTTCATCTCTCTCTCTCTCTCACTTATTTGACATGGAATGTTGGGTGCCTTCATTTATCTCAGTCTCCCTCTGGGCATATTAAAAGTACCTACCTCTTAAGAGTTATTGTTAGAATTAAATGTGTTATGAAAAATGTTTCTTAAAATGTGTAAGTGCTAAGTAAGAGATAGCATTTAATACTACCTTCATCACTACTGTGACACCTGCCACTACAACAGCTACTAGTAGCATTGTTGTAATTCTTCCTGAGCTAACCTGATTTCTGATAACCTGTGTGAAGGGCAGAGCATCTGCTGTTAGATAGTCAAAGAATCTGCAGAGATTCTTTGGATGCTTTGAAGCAGAACTTGCTGGTCATGATGCATGAACCAAAAGTTTACTATAAATTATCAAAGATCCCAGGACATGTTAAAATGCAACTAAGATTATTTTTTACCTCTTTTTCTTTGCTCACCTATTGCGGTTAGATTTATTTTAATACCTGTCTTGTGGGGAACCAGGAATTACTTGCTTGTTTGAATATACTTAAATTTGTTATAGTGTTAAAATATACACAGTACAATACAATTTTTGTACTGCTACCCAGCTTCAATGATTATTAACTTAAGGCAATCATATTTCATCTACACCCTCACCCATTCTCTTCTCTGTTATAATTTTTGGAAAAGAATCCTCAAGACATTTAAATTTACCTTTGAAAATAAAGATGTGCACTGAGCTACATCCTAGCCCCTCCCCCCTCTTAAAATTTTTTGAGACTTAAGTTTCAGACAGGGACTTACTAAGTTGCTAAATTGCCCATACTGGGCTCAAACTTGTGATCCTTCTGCTTTAGCTTCCTTTATACTACTGTACCTGGCCAAAGTACCTTTCATTTAAATTTGTTGAGCTATTGAAGTAGAGATGCTAGTTTCATTTTCATGTAGGTTCAGGCATAGATCCATTGTATCTTGTAACTTGAATGGTAATATTGGCTTAGGTCCTTGATGAAAAGGTAGTGTAACTTGGTGACTGCTGCTCCTTTAGTTGCTGTTTTTGTTGGAATGTGCTGGATTGTTGTACTTCCCTATGCAGTATTAGTATAAACATAATTCATCTGTCTTATATAAGTGTTTCTTAATCAGATATGTGTGATAACAGTAGGAAGTATTGTGGTTTACTCATATATGATTTATCAACGCTGAGACTTTTATGTTTTCAGGTTGTAGTAGTTTTTGTGTCAATAGGAAGATTTATACAAGATGAGCAGAGAAATACCCTTTCATTTCTGTGTGGCTAAATTTTTGAGAAGTTGATTTTATATTTGTAGTAAAATCAGAGTTAGTGGTAATGGTCTTGTGTGATTCATGTGATGATCATTTTAAACAAGGATGTCTTCTAGGTTCTCCTTTTTTGTTT